CTGCTGAGCGGACTGGGATGGCAAGTTGCAGCAAGGAAGCCCAGGATGATAAAGAATGATAGGAGGTTGCTGTTGGCAACAAGGAACTCATAAGTAGAGCCTTTGGGAGGAGAGAGAATAAATTTTGTCATTTAGAGGTTAGGTCCGTCAGGGAGTGAGGTAAGTTTTCGAATGGCCGTTTCAAGCAATACACTGCAGGGCTTGCAGAAGGAAAGGGGCAGCTGCAGACGCACATTCCAGTGTGTGTCCTGTGAGGCAGCTGCGGGAGCGCCTCACAATTGCACCTGCATTCCTGGACACCTTCACCGCAGGCCCAAGCCTGCTCCCTGCAGGGGCCACTCGCCCCATGGCTCTGCCTCTGTCGATCAGCCTGTCTTAGCTCAGGGGTGTCTCTCTTAATCAAATACATTTGTTTTGTAAAACTGACTAAAAATAATCTGGGGCTGGTGTGTGCTGGATGTTGGCGGTGAATCAAAGGCGCTGCTCTAATTAACCGGGCCCTGGTTTGTTTGTGAGCCGCATATATTTCCATGCTAATCAGGCACACACCAGGATCCTGCCTCCTTAGCCCCACTTCCTTTGCCTGATTGGAAAGTATGCAAATGGATGTATGGATGGAGTCTATTTATTGCAACTGGGGAAATGAAGCTGTGGCACACTCTGTGGGGCTTTATTGGGGGCTAGAGTGGGAGGGGCTGTGCTTTGTTTGGGGATTTTCAGAGATGAAGGAAAGCCCAGTGATGAAATAATGCTGGTAGAATTTGAGGGTAACCAAATGAATTACTGTGTGGCAATAAGTAATCCCTTTACCCAGGCATGTGCATCAGCTTGATACGTTTTCCTGTTTTTATCTCTATATTTTAACTGTTATGTTAATGAATCTTGTACACAGACCTATGGATTGGTAATGAAGTGTGGTGTATAAAGGTTTGAAATAAATACATAGAAAATAGTAGCCTAGTCACACACATTTCTAATGTCTCTGCGTGTGTCACTTTGGTATGTATCCTCTGTTTTCCTAATACTGCTACGGTCAGTGTGGATGGATTGGAGCAGTGCCCTCTAGTCCAGCATCCTGTTCCCTCCAGTGGTCTCTGGGAAGTCCACAGGCAGGCCATGACGATAATAGGCTTCTCCTCCTCTTGCTCCCTCTGATCCTGGAGATCATGTACAGCTATCATAATGAGCAATGCTGCATTGCTGCTAGGTTTGGGGAATCCCTGGCAAGATGCCCTTGCAGGGAGGTGCTGCACTGGGGTGTCCCTTCCTCACATGCCAACCTAGTCGCTGGTGCACTCCCGCTTTACAAAAATAAAGAAAAAGGGACTCATTTGTTTCCTTAATGAGTGCCTCCTTTTTTCTTTCTTTTTCTCAGTGGAACCACTGCATGTGACAACCTCTGGAAAAGAAAGGAGGGATCCTGTTCAGCTTCTTTAACCTCAGAAAGAGAATTGGATTGATTAATTTTGTTAATTTGCTAAATTGTAGTTTAGGATTAATTTAAGCATTAGAATTGTAAGCTTAGTTGGATACTTGGGATTTTGTTATTTTATTCTATTTTAGCATTTAATTCTTGTTTTTATGTAAGTATGTATATATGGTGCAGTTTTATTGTGTTATGGGTTGCAACAATATTTTTTTTCTTTCTTACGCTCCCCCCACCTCCATCCCCCTTATCAGGTGGTAGGAACTGCACAACATTTAGCTTTCCTTTTTTATTTTGTACTTAAAACCTCTTTTTCAGATTGGCATGCCGAATGCTGTAGAACAGAGCTCCCAATAATCGTCTTTGTGTAGCTCCCAGAGGCACTGTGGGAAATGAAGATGGCAAACTCTGTAAAAAAAGATGTTGTTGTAAAAAAGGAAATACGTTGCAGCAGTGCTTGCTGATGGGGTACCAGTTGGGGTGTGGCCATACTTTGGGGCCAGGAACTGCACCCTGTGTTCCAGACCTGGCATTGTCACTTCAATAGCTGTTGGCTGCTTGTGTCATCACTTCCTGACTGGTTGACTATTCCATCATTTTGGGGAGCTGTGAGAAATTTACACAGAAGTGGGAGCTGCAAGGGCGATAAAGCCAACAAGGGTTTTAAGTGCCTTAACTTGAACTAAGAGGTGTTGCTGCTGGTGGGAGATTTCAGTCTGGATCACGTGATTATCAGTCCACTGTGCCTTCTTGAGCCACAGGGGTAGTAGTACATTCTGGTGATCAGTTTGAATATTCAAGCCATGGGCTGTTTTAGAGCAGGGGGTAGTTTGGTAACCACTCCAAACAATCTACATGTACCCTTGCTGGGTTCAGATGTCATGATAAGTCTTGACAACCACCTATCATGGTTTGAATATCCAGAATGGCCACTGTCATGCACTGCAACCTGCTGTGGCTCACTATGGGTCAGCTGGCCCATAGCGTAAGAAGGGCAGAATGTGGAATTCCCCATTTTACTGCCAACTGTTGCACTTTTGCAGCAGTCAGAGTGATTAGCAAAGCAGCTTCATTACCAGATTCAGGAGACAATGGTGGAATTTAGTGGGACTTTAATATACTCAGGTGGGTTATCACCTTGTTCCATGTGGTGCTTCAGAAGCCTCTATTTTGTATTTAAAATAGTGCAGACACCAACAGCCTTTGCTGGGAAAAACTTTTTAATTGCCCAGAATACTTTCTTCTCTTTTCTTTATCATGAACTCTACCTTGAATTCTAGATCTAAAAACTTCACCTTTGACTTTCTGTGCTTCAAGAACAGATCTTCTGTTGAACAAAGCAATGTGCTAATAGTGTCTGACTAGGATATTTATTTACTGGCATCTATAAACACTGTCAGCTTTGTTCTGGAAAGCTGGTCTATGTAACCTAATTTGCTGCAATACAGTGTTTTGCAGTTCTTTGTGTCCTGTGTTAGATTGCCAAAGTGTGTTAAAAATTAGGGCCTGAGAGCATCTCCGACTTGTGTTCCCCAGCAACTGATATTCAGAGAACTGCTGCTGCCTAAAGTAATAAATGCTCATCCTGAATAATAGGCATTGTCCTCCAGGGCTGTATCTAACTCCTTCTAAAGATGTCAAAGTTAGTAGCCACCACTGTCTTCTACTAGCAAACATTAGTTTCAGCATATGTTGTGTGCAGTAGTACTGCCTTTTTTCTGTTCTGCATATCCCACTAGACAGTTTCCTTGGATGATCGTGGGCTCTAATATAATGAGAGAGAAAATAAAATGTATCTCCATATTAATAATGTGTGTGTGTGTGTGTGTGTGTGTGTGTGTGTGTGTGTGTGTGAAAGACCCTATGGCCATGCTCTCTGTTGCTGATGGAGCTGCCACTTCTTTAAAGGTTGCAGAGAGTTGCCTGTTCTAGAATAGTTAACATGGTAAATCATCACTTTAACTGGAAGTGGCATAGCATAAAAAAAGTCTCTCTGTTCAATTCTTTGCTGAGTTCCAAACCATTCCCCCCATGGTTCAACTTATGAAAGTTGGACCAAAAGTGTGCCACAAACAGAATACAGGATTGCTGCAGAAAAATATTTTTAGCCAGGAAGCAGCTGAATTAAGAAAATCAGCCCTCTTGTATGCTATTGCTTAACTATGACCCAGTGATGCCTTTTAATGTAGTTATGGCTTCCATAGTTGAAAACAGGTTTTTTAGGATAAGCATTATTGTCACTGTGAGTGATAATGGGATTAGAGTTTTTGCTGTATCCCTGCTGTGCTTAGAACAAAGGTGCTGTTTGACTCTCTCCTTTGAAGCACAACTTGTAGCAAAACACATGGACCTTTTTTTATAATTTAGAGGAGACAGCATGTATAAATGGTCCACAGGCTCCCAGTACCCCTTTATATGGAAGGCAAGATCTCACCAATGCATAGGAACCTGCACAGGTTACAAGTTCTTAGATGCTCCACCTTCCTTTCATGCCAGAGAGCATTTCAATAGCAGCACATTTATTAGGTTGTTGGAAAGATTGACATGTGAGGAGTACTGACTAAAGCATTTGTGTTAAAAATGATGGGCTTATAATGATATCTGTCTTAGAGGAGTCAAAGAGGAAGAGCCCCTGTATATGCCAGACTGCGTGCAATTATTTGTGAGTGGCCCAGGAGATTTTTCTGCAGTTGTGCATGAGGTGGGATTAAGTTCTTAGTAGATTAAATAGCTTTAGCAACCCTTCGTTCTCCACCCATCTCCCAGTATAGAGATATATAATGGAAAGCTCACCCCAGCTAAAAGAACTTAGTATGTCTCCTCCCTTTCCTGTAAAGTCTGTATCGCTGCCAGTAACTCTCTTCACTTCCTTCACCAGTCATTTGCACCTTCTTGGTGCTGTTAACACATCCAGCAGTCCCCAGCTTCATTTAAAGTTCATTAGATTTAACTGAAGAACATTAATGTGCATTGAAGTGCATAATGTAGCTTTATTTTAAATAGTGAGCAGGTGGAGCTATTCTTTTACTTAACTCTGTTCCACCGAGTGCTTTGATTAATGGAAGAGCAAAGCAATGACAACTCAGATAAGGACTAAAATGGCTAACAGACTAGAAGGGGCTCTTGTTGACTGACCAGATAAGGTTGACCACTAACACCTACAAAAACAAATAAAAGGCAGGCTTGTGCTTGGGAAATCCTTTTGGACTCCTCTTTTGCTACTGTGCAGTGGTAGCCAAAGCATGCTCTTGATATGGAGTTCTTGGACATTTTCGATGAGCTGTTTTTGTTAAGTATCAGGCTATACTTTGGGTATCAGTGGAAGCCATGAAGTTTATGGGACATGGGCAAGCTGGTACTTGTCAGGGTTAGCACTACAGGTCAGATATGCTTTAAAGTCTTCAGATGATTCTTCTTTTCTGTGGCTTCTCTGCCTTTTTTTGTTCCTTTCCCAACTAGATAGCTACTGGCACAGAACTGGCATGTTATTCCTTTCCCTGTTACCAAATACCATCCATCATAATTGTTGAAGAACCGATAAGAGCAACTGCTAACCTGTCAACCCTTCTTTCAGATCCTGGTGGACCCTGCTAACCCCATTGGACGTTCAGCATTGCAGTATGAGAATGTTATCGCCCATGAAGGCAGCTCCGTCCTGCGGGACTTAGTGCTCAGCCCTGATCTCCAGTACCTCTATGCCATGACTGAGAAACAGGTAAGAACTTGAGTGTGTCTGCACCTGGCTCCTCTCATGCAAGTGCGTGCTCAGAAGCAAGCAAGGAGCATAACTGGGCAAACAGCCCTTTCTGGTACGCATGGGATATTCTGAAGCACGGAGGCTCGCCATGTGGCTCTGGGTAGGGCTGTCAGATCAACCAGCAGAAACTCTTTCTAAGAATGCATCATTCTGTTTATTAGTACTGTTTTGATTAGAAGTCGAGCTCATGGTGTATATACAGAGTCCAGTGCAATAAATGGTTGGGGTGAATGACTGGCAGCTCCATCACGTGACTCGGTAACAAGAGTGATAGCTCTCTTAAGGGCATCTTTTCAAAGAACAAGCAGCTTCCATCTTATGATGGGTGACAGCATATGCAGACGTCATATGCATTGAGTTGTAGCCTACTCTGCAGATGGGTAGAATCAGCTGAATGTGGCAACACGTTAAAGCTCAGTGCACAAAGTCACCCATCATTTTATTTTTTATTTTTTTTTATTTAAAACATTTCTATGCCGCCCCCATCGCAACAAAGCCTCGGGGCAGCTCACAAAAAATACAAAAAAACATACATAAATAATAACCATCATGTGATGGTTCCTTCTTGTGGGACTAGTGGCTCCTGGACCTGGGCTGGCTGTGAAAGACATTCTCAGTCTACTCACTTTAGCTCAGTAAGAAAGTTCCTCTTTCTCTTTCTAGGGCAGTGCTGTGCCACTGAGGTGCTTAGGCGTTTTTTTTTCTTGCAAACTGCTACAGACCAAACTTTCCCCATTTCACACTGCCCGGTTTTGTTATAGAATCACAAGCAGACCTTGGAGGGTCTGTCAGTGGTTGGGAAACTATTATTATTATTATTGCACATACAACATGCAGGAGAAAATATTTATTCAGCCGCACTTACAGAAGTGTGGAAATTGGGACGCTTGGTGGGGCAGTGTCAGGGGTGAATTTCCTGGTGTAAAAGTGTAGCAGGTACCAATGCTGGACGTTGATCCATAAAGGTCAGTGAGGGTTTTTTCTCCCCCTTTTGCTTTCTCATGGCTTTTCCCTTTGCTTTCTCAAAAGGCAAGCTATCAAGGGAAGGCAAAGGTATGAGTGATCTTTTCTTGCAAAATTGGAATGGTGAGATTTGCACCCTCTTCAGGGTGAGATCCTAATAATCTCCTGACAGCGCAACACATATCTTGGTCTTTTTCCTGGGACTCTAGCTGCCCAAGTAAGTGCAAAAGTGCATCCCACCCGCATTTTAAGAGCTAGAATCTCAAGAGAAAGTACAAAATGTGCATCACCTTATGCACTGCCAGGGGAAAGCACTGAGCTCCCTCTCAATTTATACATGAATGGGGAAGATACAGATGTAAATAAATGGGTCATTGTTGTTATGTGTAGGCTTCACTCTAACAGGACCTCATTTTTTTCCTAGTCTTACTAAATCCTGCCTGATGGAATTCACAGGTGTCTCTTCATGCAATTAAGAATATCTGTTTGAGTATTTCCAAAGGGGGATACAGACTTATTATTATGAAGCCAATGAATCATAGGTGCATGCAACTGCTCTTCTACAGCAGGCTCATTAGGTCTCTTTTTGCCAAAGCTGTGTCATTTGACAGATTGCCGAGACTACGGATATTCGAGAAGTGGCTTCTGCTTCTGCACTGCTGCAGCAAGATAAACAGGTGTTCACGGAGTAAGGTGCACTGTAGCCAGCAACGTGGCTGGGTAGCCAAACCTTGGTTCTGCTAGTGTGCAGGGCTGTACATTTGCCATGACATGATGCAATTTGTCTGGTATCATTCCATTTTAGACTGCAGTGGCACCTACAATTCCTTGCTCAGAATAGCTGGCATTTGGCTGAGGATAAAATGGAAATTATGTCATAGGATAGTAAGATTTTAATTAATGTTCTATAACCCGGATGGATGAGTCTCTTTCTCTTACCCCTCACTTTTGGGGAAAAGCTGGGAAACAAGCTTGAATCCAGTGTTACCTGAGTGGACTTGCCCTTCTTCTTGTGTCCAGTACAGCCCCCTGCTTGCCTTCCAGATCTGCTTTGAAGGGTCCCTTAACCCTCTGGAGCAGATTTTGGGAAAAGGTGGTAGGAAAACCTTTTCTGCTAGCAGTATCTTTTCCAGTGGCAGATGACCAGGGCCAAGCAGTCCCAAAGCCTCATGGAATAGGCTTTGACCAGTCATCAAAGGGCATAGGGTGATGGCGTCACATAGGCATTGGTGGTGGTGGGTGGGGGGCTCAATTGGTGGGAGAAGCTGCATTGCTTATTTATGTTTATTATTGTTGCAAGCCGCCCCAAGGCTTTTTGCGAATGGGGTGGCATAAAAATGGTTTAAATAAATAAATACATAAAATATATAGAAGAAAATGGCCCTTAAAATACCTGGGCCTCAAATTGCATGGAGTGTTAAAGATAAGAATGAGCACCTTGAATTGAACCCCAAGTAAATGCAGATATGTAATCCTTGAAGATCAGACAAGACTGGAGTTGCATGATCCAGCTCACCAGCCAACCATCTGGCAGCTGCATTTTGGAACCGCTGAAGCTTCCCAGAGGTGTTAAACTAGCCCAGTCTAAAGGTTGTTGAAACGTGAATGCCTGTGGCTAGGTCAGTTTTCTTCAGGAGAGCTGCTCCAAAAGCACTCTTGGTTGCTACTGCCACTGGCTCATCTGTTTAATGTTGGCACTTCAGGTGCAAGAATAAAATGGAGTAAAAGCATAAGTTTTCGGCATTTAAAATTCAAAGGGAAAATGGAATCTCTGAGTTGGTGGACAGTCTTGAGTTGTTTTCTTAGACAGCGAGTTAAAGGCACTCAGATAAATTAAACCTGAAAGCCCTTTGAACTAATGGTAGAAACCCACAGAAGGAGAAACAGATGTAACAAACATGGTTGCCTGTAGAGTGGGGAAATTGTAGAAGAAAATGGATCCAGATCTGCCTTTGCATTAAATGCCTCCAAGCTTATCAAATAAGATGCTTTTTGTAGTGCAGAATCTTCTTCCCCTTCATCAGTGATTAGCAACATGTACTGAAATCCCCACACTCCTGGCATGCATGCCTGTCTGACCCTTTCAGGCTTGCATGCTTGGCTGCTAAGTAGCTCTGTAAAAGCGACTTCTTTGTTTGGAATGATGGAGAAACATGCTGAAGTGGCACACCTGCTACAAATGAAAACACTAGTCCTGAAAAGGCAGCATGATGCTTTGATAGGTAAATGGTCAAGCAGGGCTGGAAAAATTCCAGGTACTGGATTACACAGGAATGGAACATCCAGTCCTTCTATAAAAATGTGCAACACATATTCAATTCTGTGGAGTCTAGAAATTTAAAATGACTTTTCCGGACCTCATCAAGTTCTATCCAGATTCTCTGGGTGATGTGAACATTCTTGATCTAGTTGCATTTAAGTGAAAAGTAACACACTGTCCTAATGTGATCGCAGGGCAGATTGTTTCCACTGTGTGTAGAATTTAAAGCCGGTTGAATTTTTTTTTTTTTTTTTTAGGTTGAAATTTTTTATTTAGAATTTAAAGCAGGGCATGCAGGATTTAGATAATGTTTCTGTGGCCATTATGTTAGCAAAATGAGATGTTTGACAGCCTCATGCACCATGTAGAAGTGAACTCTGGGGTGACAATAGGTGCTTTCCCCCATCCCCCTTTTGTTTTCGTTCAGTAGGCATGGGGTAAATCTGGGGTAGCTTCCCTTTGGCTTGTATTCATGCTCTAAATGTTTTAAGTTTAGTTGGGGTTAGACTTTGGAGAGGTATCTTTATAGCAGGAGTTGGGAACCCTGGACCTGCAGGACAGATATTGGCTCCACGGTTTCGCCATCCAGTCTGTGATCCCCCGTGCACCCTGCTCCCTGCCCCATAGTCAGTCTTTTTAAAATCTCTGTTGGTTCTAATCCAGGCTTTTACTGATCTAATTGCTGGGGGTGGGGTGGAATATTCGGTGAGGGTTTCACAGTTTGGGAGCGAATGTGTAGTTTCTCCCCTGTGCAGAAACTCAGTTTTCAAAAAGTCTCCACTAGTGCCAATGGAGACTTGGTAAAGTTTAATTACAGTGCGTTTAATACCAGTGAAGACTCATGGTTTCCAGTCTCAGGCTGCACCCCACTCAGCAGTTAGATGTCTAAAGCCTAATTGCTGTGCACAGGGTGATTTGGAGTGGGGCATGTGTAACAGCTGAAGGGAGAGGGGCTATCCTTTCTCTGGCTGCAGTTTACCATCCTCTTTCCTACAGCTGTAGGCAGTTGCTGAACTGGTGCCCAGACTTGTTTCTGGTCTCTTGCTAGTGCCTTAAGGTGCAGAGCTGGCCACCGCATTGTGCTAGCCCATTGCAGCGGGGCATCTTAATGCCAGCCATAGTAAGAAGTGTTTTAGATGGTTGGCAGCAGGAATAAGGAATCCTGTGGCGGCCATTTCAAGCAGAGCTTTTGATAAAAATGTAATGTATATACCAGCTCTCTCTAAGAAGGAAAAACAGGGGAGCAGCAGGGGTCTATGTAGTAACCAGAGCCAACCAAACTCAGCAGGCCAAGCCAGTACAAGGAATTTTACTACCAGGACTCTTTTGACCATCCAGGTATTTGTCCCAGAACCAGTGCTTGTGTCCTGCTCTAGAGAGCAGGATGAAATAATAAGAAACCATATTGTCAGTTTCCTCTGTGGACTTTTATCTTCTGTGAACAGGAGATCAGTGTGAGGACATGCAATAGGCATGGTTCATGCTGGAGGAAGGTGGGCATTAAGTATAGCTGGTGATTCTTGAGGGTGCTTTTAATTATGGATCTCTCTTTTAAAGAACATTTGCATTAAATTGTATCCAGTGCTGATATAATTTAAATCCTGTTCATTGTAATGGGTCTAGCTTAAGCAGGACTAACATTGCATACAATCCATGGAAATTGCTGAATGCCAACTATGGGGGCAATTCAGATTCAGGTCAGATAACTGTGCATCCAAGGAGGAGAGATTTTGGA